AATTTTTTCTCATGATATTTGAGTTATTTACCACATATAAAATTTTAATGTGATACTATTGGAAATATTTATAGAAGCATTCCTATTATATAAAAGGTATAATGATGCTTGTGAAATATTTGGTAAAAACATTCCTATTATACAAAAGGTATAATGATGCTAATGGAATATTTGGCAAAAAATTTAAAAGAATTGATGGAATTAGTGACACTCCTATTGTACAATTAAGGTACAATGGTGTTTTGATAATATTATCTCGCTAAGTGAAATTAAAGACACTCCTATTGTATAATTAAGATACAATGGTATTGTAATGATATTATCTAATAAGAAAATTGGTGATATTCGAGAAATTTAAATCTCTAGCTAAATATTGACATTCCTATTATATAGATGAGATAAAATGGTGTCAAATTTATATGAAAAACTAGAGATTAGAAAATGTCCATGTTCACTTCAATGAGATTATATTGAATAGTTTCCATTATATTAGAAAATGCAATGATGTCATTGTGCTTTTGCATGGTGATGTTGATGGTGTGAGAAATAATTAAAAGTATAATTATCATTGGCTAGGGTGTGTCCGGTCAAACTTAAATTAGCTCAAAAGCCAAAGCCAATGAAAAAACAAGTGGATGGCAGTGAAAAAAAAAAACAAAAAAAAAAAACAAATGGATGTTATGCTTTGTCTAAAGAAAAAATAGCAAGGATGAAAAATTCCTACCACTTGTGTTAGCACTAATAAATTAATTAAGTGCTAGTTACCAAATCCTATGGGTGTATATTGAATATTATGGGAGTAAATCTTTAGCCAAAGTCAAAGGATTGGATGATACATCGAGAGGGATGAGACTAAGCCGATTAATGAATAAAACCATCTATGTGGATACTTTACCTAAGGACTCGGAGATCCCAAGAACTAGGTTCAAAGAGAAGAACGTGCATAGAGTGGTTTGATTACATGCATAATTTTTTCGAGTTATGATACTCATATGTCTATCCTTATGATGTAGTACATGAATCTCATAACAAAAGAGAGGTTAAGTTTCTTTAAATGAAACTTTTAATGTGGTCTATAGTTCTTTTTGAATGGGATGTTAGAGTTATGGGAGCATCCTTGATAGACACACCTATATGAGTGAGGAAGTGGGGCCGTGTCCTATGAGAATCGGGGTAATTCTCTAGAATATTTATAGAAGTCGGGATCAAGCACAAGGCCGTTAATGTGCTGGCTTTGAAACTCGTCGTAGAGTATCTAAATATAATATGTGTGATACGAGTATTTGTTTCATTTAAAAAGCTTGAGTTCAAGACAATGCTCATTATTGGCTTGAGAGAAATATTGTTGAAATACTAAGTAAGGGTTCAAGCCATTAGCACCCTTATTATGTATTATGTTCGCTTACTTATCCAAAAATATGACTAATATTTTATTAAAAAATAAGAAGGGGATTGTTGGAGCAGTTTTTATTAAAATAATAATTATATTAAATAATAATAATAAATGAAAAAAGGTTTCAAACCGTTACATTTGAAAAAAAGACCAATGGTCCTTACTTTGTAACATTTTTTCATTGAATTTTTTAATGTTCTTTTATTGAGTTTTAATAAACATTATATTGGCCTTTAATTTCTTTAAATGAATAAATTAAATTCTTCAAACGGTTACTTAACTTGCCCATGTATATATATGCACTCTACTTGAGAAGAAAAGAGTAACAATAAGTTTTTGCTTTGCTTTGGAGGAAAAAATATTTCCTTCGTATTTGTTTCTTTAGCCTCCTAATAAAAAAGCCATATAATTTTTTAGTTTTATGTTTGGGTAAGAGTGGTGCTAATTTTTTATTTAGAGTTTCAAGTCTTACAAGTAGTGCAAACTTGTTAAGACATGGCAAGGTGGTTGAGCTTGTTATATCTTTGAGATAACGTGGAATATATTTTTTATCCGTTGCATTAGATAAATTTTGAGGATGGCACGTATCATTTCAAGAAAACAACCCGGTTATGCCTCGAGCCGATCACCTAAAAATTATGGTAAAACCATTTTGATGGTTCAATCATCTTTATACCACGAAAATATAGTAATGTGATTTTAATCATTAATTTTTCTAATGATTAAGGTAAAAAGTTTTAATTCTTTATTTATTTTAATTTACAATATACTTATTTATTTATTGTGTCAATATTTATTAATTAATTATGTTTCTTTTACGTGCTAGGAACAATAAATTTAAATAATAAGAGTGATATAAACCGAAGTATATGTTCAAACACACACACACACACACACATACCGTGTGAAAATGAAAGAAAAATGAAAGCCGAGGATTGAAAAGAATGTTACAACATGAGGAACGAAAATAAAAAAAAGCGTTAAATTTATATATTAATGTCCCAAAAACACACAAAAGTTATTTAAATTGCCATCAAGTAAATAATAATTTTATGCATATGAAGAGTACGTGAATAAGAATTTTAGGTATATATATGAATAGTTCGAATTCCCATACTACACTATGGACCAAACTAAATATATTTATTTCAGTTTGATAACATATATTATGTTATTGATTAATTAAAATATATTAAATTAAATATAAAAGATAAAATTTCATCTTATTTTATAGTTTTTAATCAAAATTATATATATATATATATTATGTTTTGAATAAATTTTGAAGTTAAAAAATGTGATTTGTTCTTTTTTACGTATTTATTCTTAAATAAAAACCCATAATAAATAAATTTTAATATAATTTTTTTAAAAAACATCTTAATATTTTTTTCATAACATTGCATCGAAGAAATAAAACAACGAGTTAGTATAAAAACTTATCCGAAAATTAACAAATGAAGCTTTTTTTACCGATAAGAAGATTATTATTTTAAATATGCACATTTGATTTATATATATATTTTTTTACAAAATAATGAATAATATTAGTATACAAAAATTATATTTGAATTATTCAACGGTTATTATAAAATATTATTTCAATTATTTTATCCAAAAAAATTAATTTTAAAATATTTTAAAAAATAACAACAAATGGTTGGTATTGTGTATGTAGATGTATAGTTGATTTCTAATAAAATCAATGAATATAATATTATTACTTTTTATACATCATGACGAGTACTTAATGAGTGAAAATGTATAGCATAAATTGAAAAATAGTTAAAAAAAATTAAATTATAAAATATATATTGAAGTTAATAGAGTGCAATAAAAAATATAAAATTGATTTTCGATAAAATTTGATTATATAAAGAATAAAAAAATAAAATACGTATATTCTATTTTTAAAATTTGATTATATAAGAATTAAGAAAATAAAAAAAAGTATAAAAAAACTTATTCGAATCCATACATAAAGAAAATAAATCATATTTATTAATAAATAAAATTATATAAAAATAAGAATAAAAATTAACTTGATGTGAATTTTTATAAGAAATTGAAAAGATCAATTTTAAACAATAAGAGTAGTATATATTTATTTTAAAATCTAAAACCATATCGTACATTTTATATAATCGTTAGTTTGTGTGAAAAAATAACGATTGATTTTTCAAAATTTTAACACTCAGTTAAATAAAATAAAAAAAGAAAAAAAATTGATGAAAAAAATCAAAGGAAAAATACCAAAAAAGAAGAAGAAGTATGCGTACTGCTTCAATTAGGGAATTAAAATTTTTATTTTAAAATTCTAAGGATCAAAATGAAACAATTTAGAAATTACAAAAAAAAAAAAAAGGTGAATAGTGTTTTGTGAGAAGGTGAATAGTGAAATTTACGGTTAAAGTATATGTTATATAATTATTAGTTTGTATGGAAAAAAAATAACGATTAACTTTTCAAAATTTTAACACCTAGTTAAATAAAAAAAACATAAATTGATGAAAAATCAAAGAAAAAAATAATTAAAAAAGCTTATGTATTGCATCAATTAGAGAATTAAAATTTTTATTTTAAAATTTTAAGGATCAAAATGAAACAATTTAGAAATTACAAAAAAGAAGAAGGTGAATTGTGCTTTGTGAGGAGGTGAATGGTGAAATTCATTATTCAATCACCTCATGTGTTTTAGTTATATAGTAATTATTTTATTTTTAGTTAACTTTAGTTTTAGAAGTATAAGCTTTCTTCAATTTCAATTTCTATATTTGATAGAAAAAAGTATCTATGGGGTTATGGGAGGGTATTTTTGAGAAAATAAGTTCTGTGGGATGACGTGTAATTTGTTTGGGGGGTGGGAGTTGGGAAGATGGGATTATTGACATGAATGTCAAATTGTGGTAGATGAAGAGTCCAAAGAAGGGGTGTTGGTTTGCATGTATTTAGGTGATACGGGACAAAAAGGTTTAAACCTAGGATTCTTACTCCGCCAAGAAGAAGGACAAAAAAAAAAAAAAAAACTTTCCTCCAACTAACTAATGTTCCTTTTAAATGAACCAATTTATTTTATATTTTTAAATTTTATGCTCAATTTTGTGTTTTATTGGATCATTTTATTCAAACCTTGGATGGTTGAAACATTTTAAAACATAATCAAAAGTGAAATGAAAAAAAAAAATGATGGAAACACGTTTATTTGCTTACAGCGTAATAGGACCGACAGTTAAGAAAATGGATAGTTCCGAAGCATTGGCGAACCCTTGAAGCAAAAGCCACAAAATTATCATCAACCATAAATTTTCACTACTAAATTTTGCAATTATGCTTACAAGTATTTTTATAAAGAACTAACAGCCAAGCACCTGGTGCCTAAAAGAACTGAAGTGTCGGAGACGCAACAAAAATAACATGAAAATTTACAAAAACAGGTAAAAAAGAAAAAGCCCAAGTACTAAAAGAAAAAAATCATGCAAAATATTCTAAACAAACTTCGATCTGCTGCATCATTCAATTCCATATATCTGCCCGCTGTATTTCTGCTTAGTACTGCTTCTCTCCTCCTAATCATGATATCTTGTTTTTCTTCTGCTTCTTCTTCTTTATGGCTTTTTCTCAAGACTCTTCTTTGACAGCTCTATTAGTCTTTGAGAACACCATCAATAAAGGTACCCTCTCACTCCACCCTATCTTGCTATCCCATTGCATGTCGTTGCTGTTTTTGTCGATATTTGGATGTATTTCCCATCTGGGTTTTGTTTTTCAATTTTAAAAGTTTGGTTCTTTTCGGTGTTTTCTTGTTGATAGGAGCTTGCATTCCTGATAGTAGTGATTTTCAGATAAAATTCCCATATGGGGTTGGTTTTTTCTTGAAAAGTTTTATTTTTTTATTTTTTTTTGCATTTCTGTTATTGTTGATTTTTAGATAGAGGTCTCATTCCCTAGTGGGGTTGGTTTTTGGTAAAAAGTTTGGTTCATTTTGGTGTTTTTTGTGGTTTTGCAGAATTGATAAGGAGCTTGCATGTTTACAGATTGAAGGATGGGAAGGAAAAGGAAGTTGAGAGGGAGTTTGTTTTCTCTGTGGATGGTCCATATGTTGAAATGAAAGCAGACCCAATTCTTAGATTGAGGAGATTTCCGGTTTTGGAGCTCTTTGAAGGGCAAGTGATTGGTTTGTGGCATTGCATATTTGCATTTCATGCCAATAATCCTCCTCATTTGAGCGACAGTCCTTTTCTACTCTCAGTTTCCAGGTACCCCATTTTCCCTTCTTTTTATTTTTCCTTCTTTTTATTTTTCCTTTCTATTTGTTAGTCCAATTTTTTCCCCAAAATTCTGAATTCTTTGTTAGTTCTGTACTTGCATCTCTTGATTTGAGCAATTATGCGTTAATAATAGAGTTTCCCGAGTGGCTGCTAGGTAGTTTATGTCTTGTCATTTATCTAATTGTGATGAATCATTAATTTTGGCATGCAAGAAGTTTCTGTGCATTTAGAAGGACTGAACGTTGCTAACTCGATTGGGCTATTATTATTGTTATGGAAGTGCTTTGATCATTATTGTTGTTGAAAAAGGTAGTATTTTGGTGTTCCAAGATAGCGTCATAGATCATACATATGTTGGGATTAAGTGGCTAAATGAAGCAGCAGAATAAAATTATGGGCTCAACCTCTTAACAGTTGCTGCCGTTTCTTGTTCAATTATCCAACAATTTTATTTTTCTTTTGGCTCACATGAAAATACACCTACCCACCTGCCTTAGAAGCCTCTTTCCAGCTTGGCAAGGGAAGTAAGCATAGGTATGACTCGCCACTCGATGTAACCCCTAGAAATAATCATCTTTTGCTAAAAGATTGTATATTCTTCAGGTTTCTTTTTTCCTTTTTCTTTAAAAATGCAGCATGCCAACAGTTGATGCAAAGGCATTTTCCTTATAGCAATTAAGGGGGCTCAAATTTCTAAAACTTTTCAGAGTAAAGATGCTTATAAACGAATTTTGATGCCAAACTATTCTTCTTATTGAAGATACGTATTTACTTGCCGTCTATTCATGTATTTTCAATCCTATGCTTCTTCTTTCGAGAAACAAACTTGAATAAAATTCTAATGATGACTATATGAATTTCATACTAACTGCTTAGTGACGGAACATTAATGGTTCTTTGATTACGTGTGTGTTTTTAGATTCTAGACAGCCCATGGAAGTAGAACAAATTGTTGTCAGCTTAGTTTCAGATGAAAGTATCGTGTTTTAGATGTATCTAAAATCTAAATAAATCCATCATCAAAAGATATAAAAGAATTCTTATACATCTCCAAATTCCTAAGTTTGGGGGTACTTTGGAGAGCTAGATGGATGCTCCCATTCCTTTTCATTGGCTTTTTTAAGGTAATTTCTGCAGATTTTAATTGTGCAAGAAAGTGCCAAATAGGACATCAAGAACATTCAGTCATTAGGATATCCAAACAGTTCATAAAGATAGTTTGATGCTAAGTTTCTTTGTTGTGTTTATAACTTTAATAATATAATCTGGCATGTCCCTAACATCTCTTTTTTATGTCGGCTTTATAATTTTTAATATTCAGAAATCCCAAGCTGAAGTCAATTCCAACACTGGCCAAAGATATCTGTTTCATTTTGAAGTTGAGCTGCAAAACAGACAATGAAGAGCCATCAGAGTTTTCATCCAAAGTAATGCGTGAAGTGAACAGAGATAATCACCATCAGTCAAAGAAAAGTCTGCCTGTATTGGATCAGGATCTTAACTGTCTTCCTTCTTCGGTTTCTCCATCTAAATTATCAAAGAGCGAACATATTGAACTGAGTGCTGCAGGTTTAATTTGAGCTTCCTTTTTATAGAACAAGAAAAAGGAGTGTATTTTTAAATGCTTTTGTATACTACCATTCTAAGATTAATTACTTCAAGCAACTCCAAATTCCTGTTCCAGACTGGAGTTGCAACAAAGAAAAATACTAGTTTTCTTTTGGGAACGAAGTTATTTTGCTGAAACATTCTTCAGTCCATTAAATTTCCAGAACTTGCTAGTTCATTGGCTATATAGAGTGTTTATGTTTCTTCTTGACTTCAAGGATTTCTGTTATTGATCATCATGGCTTACCAACTGGAAAATTGCAGGTGCTATGGAAAAGAAGAAAAAAGAGCAGCCAGTGAAGACATTTCTAGAATTGCTTTAGAAGATGTTGTCAAATACTTTGGTCTCCCAATTGTGGAAGCTTCAAGAAATTTGAAAGTTGGTCTCACGGTATTGAAGAGAAAGTGCAGGGAATTAGGCATACCTCGCTGGCCGCATAGGAAGATCAAATCCCTTGACAGTCTCATTAGTAGTCTCCAGGTTACCTCTCCCTTCATCTTTTCACGATATTTATTCCACTGCACCACATGTAAATGGGATCATCTAGGATTATTATTCTAGAACATCACAGTGACTGAATGAACTATATCACACCTGCAGCCTATAGATGTTGCTGAATCTTTATGTAACCGTGTACGCAATGTGAGGCTGTGAGGTGACCAGTTTCATGCATGCTTCTATATACATGTTTTTGATAAAGAATTTTGTACAGGAGGAGGCAGAAAAGAAAAAGCAAGATAATGAGGATGCTGCCATGGCAGTGGCCAAGAGACGAAGGATGCTGGAGAGGGAAAAAGAAACTATAGAGAGGAAGCCATTCATGGAAATACAAAGTGAGACCAAAAGATTCAGGCAAGATGTTTTCAAAAGAAGGCACAGAGCTAGAGCTCTTGGAAACCAGGGTGTATGAATCTTTCCCACTCGTCTGAAAAAGAAAAAAAAATGAATTACAGAAACAACCTTGAAATCCCAATATGTACAGTTTGCTTCTAATGTTAATGGTGGCCTTCAATAACTTTTGTGATTTTGTGTTTTATTGCCAGTACATCTAGGGCATCTTTTTAAAGTTATTGAAGCTCAAAAGTTTTCTGGGTGATCAAGGGTTTGTTGAATGTGCCTTGCACTTCATGCTGGCTTAACAAGAAGTGGATTAGAAACTGCTCAAGGATATCCTCAAAAAGAAAGTCCATTCCTTTTGTGTCTCCTTCTGATATTAAGATGTGATTTTGCTAGCTTTGTGAAACTAGACTAGGAGAAATTACAAATAAGTCTTCCTCATCTATGTATGAAACCTTCTTCCGCCCGACTATTTGCTTCCCTTTTTCTGGGTCAAGTTTTTTTTTCCTTTTTGGAATTTCTGCCTATTCATTTGATTCAAAAGAACCATCACTTTAAATCATTTCATGCTTGATTATTCTGCATCTGTTTGGTGATTTTGTGAGTCAACTACTTGTACTGCACGTGACAGCCCCCAATACACAAGGTCAACTCTGCGGTCAACCAATACTGCTACGTTCTGCTGATGCTGGTGTAATATGCAACATATTCATGCCTTCGTGGAATCAAATATTTTGAACATTTTAGCTGCAATTGACTTTTTATTATTTTCTCATGCTAATGAGAAAGATGGAAAGAAACTGAAAATAATATACCATACGATTGACTCAACGCGAACATTAGAATTGGTTGTTGTTGGTGTAAGGTCTTAGAATGGCCATTTGAGGAATATCAACACAACGGAAAAGAAAAATACTTTGTGGGGTTGATAGCCTTGGTATGTTTGTAAAGATAGTGTTGATATTCCTGGACCATTTTTTACGTACTCCATTTTCGATTGGGTCGTAGACATGCTGCTGGGTATTTAATTATGAGATTTTCTTGGATCCTTTGGAATTTAAATCTGAGATAGGAGGGGGAAGAAATAAAGACAAGTTGTAGAACAACAGTGTAGGCCCTCAAAACCGAGTAAGCGCACCGTGTTCATGTAACGTGCATGGCCATTTTCAATCATTCCTCGCGTTCCCACTCCTTAAATCAAAAACCTAAAAACTTAAATATCTTTATACTTGAAACTTGTATACACCTATTATTATTTTATGCTTAATTCTTTTTTTATAATATTAAAAAATTATTTTAATCTAACAGTTTAAACTTTTAGGTAAGACTTAATGATATGATTTATATTGTTTTTTAACAAAAGTAATTAGATTTCTAGGATTATCACATATGCTAATTTAATGATGGCAAGTTTGGGGGCTACAACGAATTATAAAAGAAACTAAAACAAAACACTCGGTTAGTGTTACAAACACTATTTACATATTCACACACTCATAAATTACTATTACTTTCACTATTTATAATTTTTTTTTAACACTTTGGTCCTTAATTTTTTTATTTTTTCAATTTCAAACTTTAATTGTATTGTGATTTAGTCCCATTTTGTTTTAGTTTTTGTTTTAATTATTTTTATTATTTAAAATTTGCTACTTTAATTTGTCATTTTTAAAAAAAATTCTCATCCAATTAATTTAAAATTATATGGTCCTCAAATTTTCTATACAATTTTTTTTTTTAATTTCAAACTTTAATTGTGTTATGATTTGGTCATATTTTGTTTTAGTGTTTTTTTTTTAATTATTTTTTATTATTTAAAATCTACAAATTTAATTTGTCATTTGTTTTTCAAATTCTCATCCAATTAATTTAAAATTACATTTAATGACCGTTTGGATTTATTTTAATATTATTCATTCTTTTGTAAATAAATATATAAAAATCAAATTCATATTTTTTTTTCAAAAATAGATATTCTCATCAATATTAAATAAAAATAAAAAAAATTATTTGTTTAATTCTATGTGGGCTTTTAACAAATTTTCAACACAATTTTATGAAATACTAAAGCTTTATAACAAATTTTTTATTTAATTTTTCCTTTCTTTAAAAAAAAAACTCTCATTCAATTAATTTAAAATTATATGGTCCTCGATTTTTCTATACATTTTTTTTTTCAATTTTAAACTTTAATTGTATTGTGATTTGGTCCCATTTTGTTTTAGTGTTTTTTGTTAATTATTTTTATTATTTAAAATTTACTACTTTAATTTGTCATTTCTTTTAAATTCTCATCCAATTAATTTAAAACTATATTTACTCGACAATTTTGGTTTATTTTAATATTATTCATTCTTTTGTAAATAAATATATAAAAATTAAATTCATATTTTTTTTCAAATATCAATATTCTCATCAACATGAAATAAAAATAAAAAATATATATTTTCATTTTTATGTAAGCTTTTAATAATTGTTTTTTTTTTTACACAATCTTATGAAATACTAAAGCTTTTTTTAAAAAAATTTATTTAATTTTATTTTTAGTTAATAATCCATGGATTAACAAGCATAAATCCTTTTTGTAAAGAAAAAATTATGAAAAACATAAATAAGAAATAGTAAAATACAAATTTTTTGATTAAGAAATTATAAATATTTTTTTACCTTTGATTTCATATATTTTTATAAATTCATACCATAAAATAGACTATCTAACCGAAATGATTTTATATATTTTATCCAACATGCAAGCATAGTGTGAGTAAAAAATCTAATAAAGATGCTATGAAATATGGGTTGTTTAGTTTTGATCGGCATTTTTCAATTTTTTGTCTTTTGATTTTAATATTTATATAATTAGGTGTTCGGATTTGAATGTTTTCTATTAAGGTTTAGTTGGTACTAGATTTTTTACCCGCGCTACATTGCATGCTTGGATAAAATATATAAAATCATTTAGGAAAATTATTTCGGTTTAATAATCTGTTTTATGGCAAAAAATACTTATAATTTTTTAATAAAAAATTTTGTATTTAACTATTTCTTATTTGTGTTTTTAAATCTTAGAAATAAATAATAAAAGAAATAAATTATTGGTTTCTTTAAAATTGTAACACCCAATTAATTATTGGTTCCTTTAAAATTTTAACACCTAACATTATTATGAAATGAAAATTAAAAAAAAAATTCAATTTTTAGGGAAAAAAAAGGAGGCTAGCCGTTTCATCGTTCATGTGAACAGTAAACGGACGGAAATTAAAAAAAATGTTTAGCGTTTAGAAAGAAAAAAAGGAAATGGGAAGTTGGTTGGGGGGGGAGGCGTTTACTGTTCAAAATGAACAGTAAATGGGGAAAAAAGGGAGAAGAAGGCCAACGCGGCAAAAAAAAAGTGAAAATTAAAAAAAAAAAACTAGAGAACTGTAGCATTGAACAATGATTAACACCGTTAATTGCTACAGTAGAAAATCATTTTACTTCAATTTATAGTATAATTGGTGATTAAACCAGCATGAAGTGAGAGATTTTCTCATCAGATAATCCATACAAATCTTGAATTCAATCCCTACTGGATTTGAGTATTTTAAACTTCAAATTTTGTATTTGATTTGAGTTTTGGTATGAAAATGTTGTTTTTTGTAATGCTGAAAGAATTGATTTTATGGTATTTTAGATTAAGTTAAATCCGGATGGTGAATAGAGATGAGATTCCAATCTAAATACCGAATAATTCGCAAAACAAAATCAAAAGAAAGAAAGAAAGAAACTATGAAAAATATAAATAAAAAAAGTCTACATTTCATGGGTTCTCTGTATGAATACCCAAAATTACGATGACTTTTTAATTTCTTGTATGGTCCCATGGCTCCAAGAGACAGAGGTAAAATTTATGTCAACTCCACCAAATTCCATTCTTCTCCTTTCCTCTTTGTTTTTCTTTTTATCTATTATACAATATTTTATGTAAATGTTTTTTCTATTTAGTTTAGAAAGGAAATTTCAACTGGTGACCACCCCTCTCTCTCTCTCTCATGATTAATCAACTCAATAAGATTAGATTGAATAAAAATAATTCTATTGATCTAGGTACGTAATTTTAAATTCGAATTATTATATATGTAGAAAACTTTTTAAATAGATGCATTTGTCCTATTTGTTTGACATAACAATAAAAATAATCAATTCAACTAGATTATTTTGAATGAAAATAATTCTAGTAGTTTAAAAAAAGTGATTTAGGATTCGAGTAATTGTATTATATGTGAAAAACTCATCAAATATATGTAAAATAGGAAGAAATTATTCTCTATTTTTAGATTTAAAATACTTTGGGGTAAAAAAAAAAAAAAACCCCATAAATAACATAACTAAATCTCAAAAAAAGAAAAAAGAAGAAGAAGAAGGGAAAAACTAACATAACGGAATAGCTAATTAATTAATATCACTAAACAGTACTTGATGTCTAGTATTAATGAGCAATGATACTCAATAAATTAAAAAAAGGTGAGAAATGGAATGCACAGAGTGTCATCACATGGTCGTTGACTGCCTGCTTTAAAAGCGTAATCGTATGCAGTGGGTCTTTGCAAAATTGTGTAACAGAAATGAGTTTAAAAAACTGTTAGAAGGTTAAAACAAACTATTTGGCCTACAAATTGGAAACGACAACTGCTAAGTGAAGGCACAGGAATTGCCTAGAAAAACAAGCAAAGAAAACACTTCATGTCCATACCCTTCAAACCCTTTTGAATTTTTTTTTTTTTTTTCCTTCTTCTTTCTTTCTTGGCTCCTTCTCAAAATCTCCAGTCTTTATAAACCGTAAACGGGTGCTGCCTGCTACTACCTCCCATCTTGTTAAGTTGGTCTGAAGATTGCATAGCTTCGAAGTGTTACTGAAAGGTCAACATGGGCAACTGCCTAAGATCTCTCTTTTATGATCCCATCTCCATAGCCAACAACGATCCTCCTTCCCCAGGTACCTTTCTTGATTTTACTACTTGTTTTGGATGTCTTAAGAATTTCATATGTGGTTTATTGGTTCTTGTTTTTTTTTTTTTTTTTTTCAATAGTCAT